GGTGGAGTGTGTACTGATGGTGGAGTGAGTACTGATGGTGGAGTGGGGGCTGATGGTGGTGAGTACTGATGGTGGTGGGTACTGATGGTGGAGTGGGTACTGATGGTGGTGGGTACTGATGGTTGAGTGTGTATTAATGGTGGTGCGTACTGATGGTGGTGGGTACTGATGGTGGTGGGTACTGATGGTGGAGTGGGCACTGATGGTGGTGGGTACTGATGGTGGAGTGGCTAATGATGGTGTAGTGGGTACTGATGGTGGTGAGTACTGATGGTGATGAGTACTGATGGTGGAGTGAGTACTGATGGTGGAGTGGGTACTGATGCTGGTGGGTACTGATTCTGGTGGGTACTGATGGTGGTGGGTACTGATGGTGGTCAGTACTGATGGTGGTGGGTACTGATGCTGGTGGGTACTGATGGTGGTGGGTACTGATGGTGGTCAGTACTCATGGTGGTGAGTACTGATGCTGGTGGGTACTGATGGTGTTGAGTACTGATGGTGGTGAGTACTGATGGTGGAGTGGGTACTGATGGTGGAGTGGGTACTGATGGTGGTGAGTACTGATGTTGGTGGGTACTGATGGTGGTGGGTACTGATGGTGGAGTGAGTACTGATGGTGGAGTGAGTACTGATGGTGGTGAGTACTGATGGTGGTGGGTACTGATGGTGGTGGGTACTGATGGTGGAGTGAGTACTGATGGTGGAGTGAGTACTGATGCTGGTGAGTACTGATGGTGGTGGGTACTGATGGTGGAGTGAGTATTGATGGTGGTGGGTACTGATGACGGAGTGAGTACTGATGGTGGTGAGTACTGATGCTGGTGGGTACTGATGGTGGTGAGTACTGATGGTGGAGTGAGTACTGATGGTGGAGTGGGTACTGATGGTGGAGTGAGTACTGATGGTGGTGAGTACTGATGGTGGTGGGTACTGATGGTGATGGGTACTGATGGTGGAGTGAGTACTGATGGTGGAGTGAGTACTGATGGTGGTGAGTACTGATGGTGGTGGGTACTGATGGTGGAGTGAGTACTGATGGTGGTGGGTACTGATGACGGAGTGAGTACTGATGGCGGAAACACTGTTGTTGAAACTGCTGTTGGTGGACCTTCTGGCTTTATACAGGTTGGATTGATTTCTCCCTTTTCTGGCCTTTAACTTATTCTGTCCCGAGTCACTGTGTAGCACGAAACCGGTGATATCCATAAGGTGAATAAACAAACTGTTTCTCAGTGACACAGATCATTTTAATGCATGGAATTGTCCTGAGGGTACTCTTGCTCTGATTCGCTCCTTCGCTATGTTAATGCAGCTCATCCCTTACTCCCCATTTATCCCCAGTGACCGGGCCAGAAGTGGTCTGTCCCTGAATGATGAGGTTAGCCTAACCCTACTATCCAATGGTGCTCTGCACTGCTATTGAGACTTACTGAATCACCCTATATATTGGATATGTTATTTTCATGTCATTAATCTTTTGCTTGCATCCCAGCATTTTACCTGACAAACAGTAACACAGTCAGTTCTGCCAGCCAGCATAGTAGGTCAGGCAGTAGCCTTCTCCACCCAATTCATATCTAACCCTAACCTTAAAGCATGTTCAAATGTCTTCCAGGTCAAGGATTCCTGCAGCTGGCACTACCTTACCCATTACAGCACTGGTTTGTGAGATTATTTGGAGATGAGTGTAAAGTAATTGATCCTCAACAGCAGGTCTATTCGCCTCTGCTGTACTCTACATGTACTTCATCTTTAAGAGAGAGTTCACCTTTAAGGACACCATGTGATGTGCGTATGCAACGTGGCAACTCTGCCTGGCACCGCGTGCTCTGTGGGACTTTAAATTGCACACACACACAGATCAGCCGGCTTGCTGTAATGTCTACCTCCTAACTTGTAATGTTAAATAATCGAACCAAGAGGTTATCAATCCTTGATGAACCATTGATCATTAGGCTGTTATTAGTGACACAACACCCCATCAGATCTTACCATTGAGTTTTTTTTTCTTTATTCATTCACGGGATGAGGGCATTGCTGGCGAGGGAGCATTTATTGCCCATCCCTAATTGCTCAGAGGGCAGTTAAGAGTCAACCACATTGCTGTGGGTCTGGAATCATATGTAGGACAAACCAGGTAAGGATGGCAGTTTCCTTCCCTAAAGGACATTCATGAACCAGATGGGTTTTTCCTAACAATCGAGAATGGATTCATGGTCATCATTAGACTCTTAATTCCAAATATTTATTGAATTCAAATTCCACCATCTGCCGTGGTGGGATTCAAACCCGGGTCCCCAGGACATTATCTGGGTCTCTGGATTAACAGTCCGGCGATAATATCACTAGGCCTACTGCCTAGCCATTATGGGTACGCTAGAGAAGTGCAGTCCTGTCAGCTTCATGTTTGGGATTAATCCCTCATCCATAAATTGTTCTGACTCTGAGCTTCTATTCAATAGCCACTCCATTTCCGATGTCTCTCGCCATGGAGGATAGGGCTTCAATGTACTTACATGTTTAAACTTTATGTAGGTGATGTCCTTTAATGTGGATTTGATCAACTCCACCCACTCCTTCTCTCCCTGTGTGTCTTCCTGTGTGCCGATGATGTAAATATCATGGGGGATGTCCACAGCTGTGTCATCCTGCGTTTTCCCCTGGCCTCGGCAAAGGAACCACGACCGTATGTCCGCTGGCGGTGAGGCATTACCTAGACGAACAACAGCAACAACAACTTGCCTTTACAAAGTGCCCTTCACAGAGCAAAGGTCATTCACAGAGGTGTTATCGGACAGATTTTGACCCCAAGTCACGTTAGCGAATATGAGGACAGGAGCCAAAAGTTCAGTCAAGGAGTTGGGAGAGTTTTTAAAGGAAGAGAGAGAAATGGTAAGGGGGAGAGGTTTAGGGAGACAATTTCAGAGCTGAGGGCCTCAGTGGATGAAAGGCAAAGGTGAAACGATTAAAATCAATGTAGAAAAGTAGAGTTTTCAAAGAACTGTGGGAGAAGGAGCTCACAAAGAAAAATGGGAAAGGGAATAGGCTATTGGAGAAATTTGAACACATGGATGTGAATCTCAAAATCAAGGTGCTATTGGATAAGACAGCACAAGAAACAGAGCTCTATTTTGAGGGATCTTCTTTCCACATATTTTCTGGGATTCTCGGGTCTCAGACCTCTCCTCTCAGTGAGCTGTCACCATGGGCTAGCCCCAGGAGGGGGCTGGCTCAAGCACCTGGCCTGACTGGTGCTTTCATAACCCATCGAATTCCCTATTAGTCACTTGTGGGTGGGTGGCCCTGCCAACTCCCATTCCCTCTCCAGGAAAATGGCATGTGTGTGTGTGTGTGTCTGTCTGTCTGTCTGTGTATGTGAGTGTGTGTGTGTATGTGTGTGTGTCTGTGTGTCTGTGTGTGTGTGTCTGTGTGTTTGTGTGTGTGTGTGTATGTGTGTGTGTGTCTGTGTCTGCATGTGTGTGTCTGTGTGTGTCTGTGTGTGTGTGTGTGTGTGTGTGTGTGTATGTGTGTCTGTGTGTGTGTGTCTGTGTGTGGGGGGGGAGGGGAGGTGGATGGGTGGTTATTGGCACCAGCAAACTGGCATTCTGCTTTTTAGCACAGACTTACGCACCTGCCCACCTCTGCTGGGGGCAAAAATCAAGCCCATCCTTGTGATTTGATTGTTCTCTCGAAATGGATCACTGAAGATTTTAATTTAGACAAATAAATGTCTAACATGTCCCTTTTGAATAAAATAGGCATTTGGAATGTGTTACACATGATATAGGAGAGTTAGAAGGATGCTGGGGCAAAGTAACACGAGGCTGGAAGAGTTTAACATTGGAGAGTAGATAGTGGAGCAAATGTTGTAGTGAATAAGAGAGCAAGGTTGGTATATGTGTGTAACTGTTAGGACCGTATACTAAATAATTCCTCTCACTCTCTAGCGTGCTCACCACCAAAACCCCTTACCCATGTTCCAGGTTCCAATGAAGACGTTGATCATGTCGGGTTCTGGGAAGTCTGAATGTTTATTCTTCATCAGCTGCAACAGTTGGCAGAACCCTTCCCGTTTCTGAAAATAAGGAGGCAGAAGTTCGAATGAGAACACCACAGGCTGAGCGTGGTTTTAGATAATCTATACTGATCTAAATAGCAGTCTCAAAAAGGACCACTATAACACTGCCAGTAAAAAGGCAAATAACATTTATTTATCTTGATTCATGTTGCTATCACTACTAGTTTGCAACTGGTACATTTCACACCTTCATTCACCTCCTCCATCCTGGTGTACACTCTCTCCCAGTTCTCTCATCACCCTTTTGTTAGCCTTTCCCAATCCAGTTTTCTCTCCTCTTATTCTGCACTTCCCCTATTCCTCAATTGTTACCCTCTGGTTCACCTTGCTCCTCATCCGTTGGACATGCCTCCAGGCTCTATTGGAGTGTAGACAAGAGGAGCTTTCCTCTGAATATAACTCAGTTAGATGTCTTGAGCAGCATCTATCCCTCAACAAAATCAAACCAAAACAGACTTCAAACAAGAATAAGTGCCCCAAGGCAGCTTACAGGCTGAGTAATTAAACAAATGAAAGCACACGAAGACTGGGGAGGTGAATTTTGAAGGGGATTTTAAGGTGGAACTCTGTGAGGGAAGCAGTGAGACAGAAGAATTTAAGCAAATAATTCCAGAGCATGAGGTCTGGATGGCTAAGAGGCATGGCTAGCTTTGTGGGGTTGTTTGGAGGAATAGATGAGAATAGTCAGAGGAACACAGGGCAACAAAGGATATATAGGAGGTGACAGATGGGGAGGATGTAGAGAATTTGCAATTTTAGATGCAGGAGTGATGGTTGAACAGGCCATTGAGGGATGGGAAATAGGCACCAGAGAATGAGGGAGGTCAGCCAATGATTGCTCTGGAATGGTCATGTCTGGAGGTGACAAAAGGATGGATAAGGCAGGAGTGGTGATGCCTGATGTTACAAAGATGGCCTTTGTGTGAATGAAGAGTTGGTGTCAGAAATTAGTTTTTGTTTAAATGGGACAACAAGAGTTCAGTCTGAGACAGTGACCAAGGAAAGGGTCGTCCAGAGTCAGGAAATTGCGACAAGAGCTGAAGACAATGGCTTCAGTATTTCCACTGTTCAACTGAATGGAATATCTCATACGTTGGTGACAGGGAAAAAAAAATCTGAGCAGGTAGAAGCAAAGCCAGAAATGTGAGGATAGAAAGAGAAACCATTTCTTGAGATGCTCTCACAATTGTATAAGTGACATCAAGCAAAAATAATCTCACTCAACCGAACAATGGACAAGAGGTCTTGAGGAAAATGCTACAGGCAAGTGTGCCAGAAGTTGCAGCAAAGGTGTTATAAGAGAGGAAATATTATTCCCCCCTGTTTCAGTCACATTTGACTGTGAGTGGATTGGTTTGAGCTTCAGGGGTGAAAGCCTATTGAGACAGTTTCAGATATGAAGAGATGAGAAAGATGAGAGGAGATTTGAGAAGCAACAACACATTCAAGGAATTTGGAGAAGAAAGTTGGATTGGAGATGGATGCAAGTTTCCAAGGAGAGAGCATGAAGTTTTTGAGAAGGGGATGGCGACAAAGATTCTGACAAGGAAACGGACAATACTTGCAGAGAGGAAGCCGTTTACAATCTCAACCAGCACGGGATTCAGGGAAAGGAAGTTAATAGTCAGCAGTTCAATGGGAATGCAGTCAAGGGAGCAAGTGGTGAGACTCATTGAAAGATTGATTTCAGGATGAGTAAGTGAAAAGGAACTTGCCTACCCTGAGACTTCTGTTTAAAACAAAAATCACCACAGTGAGAAAAAGAAGTGAGGTAAGTGATTGGATCATTGACTTTGAGAACAAAGATCCGTGTGACAAACCTTGGAGTCAGTGAAAACGTACTCCTTCCGTTGTGTTTTCTTCATCTCGGAATCGATCATGATCACCAATTTGTTCGGGAACTTGTGTGATTTGATTAACTGCAAAACTGAGACAAGTAGTACCAGTGAGAGAAGGAAGTTACACGGAAACCACTTTCTTTATGAGTCACTTTGAGCATTTGCAGTTCTGGTAACAGCCAGTGGTCAGCCACAGGATACAGAGTCCCAGATCCAAAGAACTTGGTACATCTCTCAGATCCTAGTGCCACATCATTGGAAACAAGACACAAAATTTCTGTTCTCAGAAAATTAGTAAAAATATAACTCAGGATAACTGCAGTAAACACATGGATTCCCTTGAAACAGCAATTAGGTATCAGTGGTCATAGAGATAGCCAAAGGGCAGCCATTAGTTGCAACATCCTTAAGACAGCTAAATAGCACCAATAAGAACACAGATACCCAGCAGAGCTAAAAGCCATTCATAACCATACAGATGTGAGAGGCATCACTTGGCATGTTTAGAAGACCATTGAATGCAATGCCAAACCATAAATCCCTTTATAAGCTTTTTGCATCAATATTTAAGTAATAATACCACACAGATAATGCAGTGTAGCCAGGACATTCAGCAGAAAATTGATCAGAAATCTTACTTCTGTTGTGACTGTAAAATTTGTCTTCTGGCCCATCCTTTGATTTCTTCACAATTAACTTCCCATGTTCTATGTCCACCTTCAAATGGAGTTTCATGAAGATTCCAAAACTATCCAATTTCACCTGCAATTTAAAGGAATCCTTACGAGTAAATCTGATCTTCTTTAGCTCAAACTAAGGAGCTGCTGTTTGAACAGAAAATGGCGTTTAAGGATGATAATTGGTCATTTCAAAGGGCAGAACGGTTTAGGGGCAGGTGATTTTGTTTTGGAAAGGTGGGGGTTCGGTGACAATAGAGATTCTAAAAGACAACCTGATTCAAGGCATGAGGAAAATGCCTTTGTAAACTTTTTTGATTCTAAGCAACAACATTTGTCTTGGAGACTGTGACTAGAAAACACTGGAGTGCAAAAAGTACCTACCTCAAAGGTTACAGGTGCAATTTCAGAGTGTTGACCTTCAGCATCTGTGTCCGGAGACTCTGGCTCGAAATCTTTCACCTGTGCAATGTAAATTAGGGAAAGAATTGGACTGACAGTATATCAGCATGATCCCACCCGTTTCTTCACTTGCCAATTTTATCCCCTGTCCTAAGGTGATAACTCTTATGAGGCTTATAATCCACGGAGCTTGTACTCCCTCACATCCTGATCCCTATTGCTCATGCACTGTGAGAATATGTGTTGCAGGACAATTGTTATATTATTGGTTTAGTAATTCAGCTGCTCTGACTAATAATTTGGAAAAGACAGGTTTGTGCCCTTTGGAGATTTTGAAATCAGTGTTTAAAATCTGAAAATAAAAATTTGTAACACCTCGTCTGACCCCTGCAATGGAAGCAGACTAAGTCAGGACAGGAGAAGGTTACTGATGCAGGGCTCCCGAATTGTGTAGCTCAGTGTCACACTGCATGGTGTAATAAGTGACCATCTAAAGCTAGTGACCTTGGGGCAAGTATGTGTGGAGTTGCCCCGAGTTATGCTCAGGTAATGAAACACTGGTTAAGTATTTAATTAAGTAATTTTGATTTCATGTGGAACTGTAATGAGCAGGTTCAATGTTAAGAAAGAGTGTGCGATAGGCTAAGACTCATGTAAGACAGAATCCCTCGAGATAGATATGTATCTCTCCCGCTATTGACTTAACTGAGAGCAGAGAGCTTAATACAGACCAGGGATCAAAAAAAACCAAGACCCTTTATGATCTGTATACAAGGGGTCATGGAACAGGTTTTCAGATACACATCAGAATAGTGCACACTCATGGAGATTGTCAATCCTAATGAGTGACCCGAAGCAGGACAACATGAATTGCTGTATTTGAAGTCAATCTCCCACATTAACTCTGGTGCGAGTTTGCAAATATCTAGATACCTGGTTCTCAATGGTTGAGAGCATTCTGCTCAGTTCTTCAGCTGTTGAGAGCAATCTTCCGACACTCCCATCAGAAGCAATCTGGAAACAAACACAATTAAAGGTGAATCGATGCTGCTTTCCTTCCCATGTGGACATATCAACTCAATTGATAGCAACATCTGGTTTTATTTTCATTTAATGTGTGAGCATGAGCCTCATGGACAGTTAGTCCCCACTGAATGAGGAGGTAATTTTCAGTGATCATGCAATAATCCTCAGTGAGTGGAGAGGTAAGATTCTAATGAAAATCAACTTCTGTGAACAAATAGCTAATCTCCAGAGATTTCGGAAATAACATACAGTGAACAGAGAGCTAACCTCTTTGTTATTCTTCACATTATTTTTTTACCGTTTCAATTGATGTAAGTATCACCAGCTAGGCCAACGTTTATTGCCATTCCCTAAAACCCTCAGACAGTTAATGGTGAGCTGCTGCCTTGAATTGCTTCAGTCCATGAGGTGTAGAGACACCTACTGTATTGTTATGCAGGAAGATTCAAGTTTTTAATACAGCAACAGTGAAAAAAGCAAGCCTTTCTGCTCTTATGATGCTGCTTGGCCTGCTGTGTTCATCCAGCTCTGTACCTTGTTGTCTCGGATTCTCCAGCATCTGCAGTTCCTACTATCTCTGATAATGTTCCATGTCAGGATATTGTGTGGCTCAGAGGGAAACTTGGAGGCAGTGATGCTCCCATGTATCTGCTGCCCTTATTCTTCTTGCTAGTAGAGGTCACGGGTTTGGAAAGTACTGTCAAGGGAGCCTTTATCAGTTGCTGCAGTGCATCTTGTAGATAGTGCACACTGCTGCTACAGTGTATCAGTGGTGGAGAGAATAAATATTCAAAGTGGTGAATGGGGTTCTTTGCCCTTGACGGTGTCTAGTTTTTTGTGTATTGTTGGGGCTGCGTCCACTGGAGAATATTTCATCACACTCCTGACTTGTACCTGGTAGACTATGAAGAGGCTTCAGGGAGACAGGAGCTGAGTTCCTTGCCACAGAATTTATAGCCTCTGATTTGCAGTTAAAGTCACAGTATTTATATGCTGGTCCAGTTCAGTTTCTTGTCAATAGTAATCCCCAGGATATTGATATTAGGAGATTCAGCAATGGTCACACCAATGTATCTGGGGAGTCATGACTGGTGCTGAACATTGTGCAATCATCAGTGAACATCCCCACTTCCCATCGTAGGAAAGGGAAGGAAGGTCATTGATGAAGCAGCTGAAGATGGTTGGGCCTAGGACACTGCCCTGAAGAACTACTGCAGAGATGACTGATCTCCAGCAATCACTCTGTGCTAGGATAGACGCTCACTGGTGTGGAGAGATTTTGCCCTTGTCCCACTGATTTGTTTTTCCAGGGCTTCCCAATGCCTCACTTGGCAGCATTTGGAATATTTGAGTAGTCTTGCACCCAATATCTAATGAAGGATGTGCCGAACTTGGAAAATCCAGAGGAGGTTCACAAGAATGATCCTGGGAATGAAGAGCTTGTCACATAACGAGTGGTTGAGGACTCAGGGTTTGTACTTGATGGAGTTTAGAAAGATATGGGGGGATCTCATTGAAAAGTACAGAATACGGAGAGGCGTGGATAGAGTGGATGTGGAGAAGATGTGTCCACTAGTACGAGAGACTTGGCACCAAGGGCACAGCCCCAGAGTGAGGGGATGACCCTTTAGAATGAAGATGAGGACGAATTTCTTCAACCAGAGGGTGGCGAATCTGTGGAACTCATTGCTACAGAAGGCTGTAGAGGCCAAATCATTGAGTGAATTTAAGAGAGAGGTAAGATAGATTCTCGATGATTAAAGAGATGAAAGTTATGGGGAGAAGGCTGGAGATTGGGCCTGAAAAACATATGAGCCATGATTGAACTGTGGAGCGGATTCAATGGGCTAAATGGCCTAATTCTGCTCCTATATCTTATGGTCTAAATGCTGCCTCGATATCAAGGGCAGTCACTCTCACCTCACCTCTGGAATTCAGCTCTCCTTTCCAGGGTGTGTTGGACAAGATGAGTGAGGGGGCAAATCCATGGCAGATGAAATATAACATGGATAAATGTGAGCTTATCCATTTTAGTAGCAAAAACAGGAAGACAGATTCTTATCTGAATGGTGATAGATTGGGAAAAGGTGGAGGTACAATGAGACCTTGGTATTCTTGTACACCAGATGCAGAAAGTGAGCATTGCAGGAGCAGCAGGTGGCGAAGATGGCAAATATTATGTTGGCTATCATAGCGAGAGGGTTTGAGTACAGGAGCAGGGGTGTCTTGCTGCAATTGTACAGGGCCTTAGTGAGACCACATCAGGAGTATTATGTGCAATTTTGTTAGCCTTATCTGAGGAAGGATATCTGGCTTGTTACTGCCCAGCCACAATGATGTTCTGTCTCTCACACAAATAATTAATGTGGTATATGATTTTCAATGCCTGTGTGATACCAGTTATGAAGGACATATGTCTGAGAGACTGGTGGAATGTATCAAACAGCATGTCTCTTCAGCTGTTCACAAGCAGAGTACTGGTTTTATCTAACCAGTCCGTTCTTGCAAAACCAAACTAACTGACATTGGATATGATTCTGCAACTGGACAACATTTGCTGGATAATCCTGAATTTGCAAGAAAATATGTTGTCAATTACTCTAGAATTGTCAGTCAAACTTGCAGTGTGGTGCACTTGTGTATACTTGTTGCAGAGCCCTGTTCTTTGTAAACAGAAAGAATATGTCGATGCACTGTCCCTGTTACAGCAAAACAAAATAGGCAAGAGTCATCCGCTGGCTCATTTCGTAGGGGAATCTCAGTCAGGGTCAACCTGCCTGGTAAACAAAAATAAATAAAGCCTGGCTGTTATTTGTCAATTAATAGTTGCATTCTCCATGACAATTATTCTACTACAGTCACTTTCCAACCAATCTGCACTCTTTGCTATATGCTGTTTTTTCCCTTTAATTAGCATTCTTGTGAAATGTCCTGATGAGTGCAAGAGGAAAAGCTTTGACAAAATGTGCCTTTTTTCAGCAATACTCATGTTCTTTACCACTAATTGACTACTTATTCAAAATAAAAGGTATATTGGGCAGTGTACTGGCCTCTCTTTTATAGATAATAATCGTGCAGTGACGCTTCATAGAAGCATCATACCAGGGTGGCTGGTGGTGATTTTGCTGATTGGCACTGTACCCATGCAGTGAGCTGAAAGTCAGCTACCTTAGTGCGTCAGTCTCAGAAGCCCCGATTGTATTTCACATTCATCAGGCAGTCAGGCCAAGACCCAGTCACCCACCAGACGGCCACAGATCTTCAGGCCCAGCAGCGCCACCAGAAGCGGTGGCCAAATCTGGGGCTGCAGGTAGCCAGGGCCAGCGGGAGGCTAGTAAGTGAAAGTGGCTTGATTGTACTCACTGGGATCAGTCAGGCAGACCCTAACCTGGGTTAATTGTGAGACTGGGGAGTTGGGTGGTGAGGAGGGGCACGGGGAGGGAAAGGTTAACCACCAGGGAGAAGATGGGGCCCCCTGTCAACCATGGTGTGTCAATTCAGGTTGGAAACTCCCAGTAAGTAACCCAGTCATGAGTCAGCACAATAAAAGAAATGCAAAGGAGGAAGCTGGAAGATGCAAACTCTCACTGCAGAGGCACTGTGTTACACAGCAGCAGACGGGACTGTTTGATGCTCTGTGACACAGTGACATTAGGTTCCCAGACAGGTTGCTCTGCAGACTCATTACAGGTGGAACTGCATGTTCATAATGCCAGCAGCATGTCCAGGGAAACTTTTTTGGCAATCCGCCCAGCAAGAGTGACGTGTAACATACACAAAAAAGGGCTGATAAAAGGTTCTCAAGAGAACCGAAGTCACCTGATTGGCTCACAACAGCCAATTGGTGGCAATCGTCAAGAAAGATTCACACTGACACTGAAGCCTGCTTCCTGCTGACATGTAAGCTAAGCAAAAGAGGAGAAGGGGAGAGAGATGCAGCCAAAATAATGCTGAAAAGTAGGCCGTTGTCTGGCACTTCTTTGCTCACAGTCCTTGGCAGTCGCTCTTTCTAAGCGTTAGCTGTGAGTCAGTGGGTAGCATGCCTGGTTCTGAATCAGAAAGACCTGGGCTCCCAGTCTCGTTGCAAATGCTTCAGCGTGAAATCCTGGCTGACCACCCCAGTACAGCACTGACCAAGTATTGCACAGTCAGCGGGGCTGTCCTTCGGATGAGGTCTTGCGTGCCACCTCAAAAAAGAAATCCCACAAAAATACTTCCTTTCAGGATGGCAGGGTCCTGCTCAATTTTCATCCCACTGCCAATATCACCTAGAACAGATGGTCCGCAGTTTCTTGGATCTTGCTGTGAGCAATTCAGTTGAGCATTTCTTACCATAGACACACTTAAAACAAAGGTATTTTACCAGGTGTATTGGGATGTTCCATACTTGTGAAAGGTGCTAAACAAATGCAGGCCTTTCTTGGCAATTCTCAAACACCTCTTTTCCCTGTTGTACAATCCAACTATAACCGTCCCACAGCTACCTTGCTATGCTGGCGAGTTGGGAACTGGACTTCCCAGTGTTAAACTCAACCCTACAGACCAGCAAACTCCAGCACTTTAGATCCACAATGGGTTGGTTGCTCTCAGCTGGAAAGGCTTGGTGTGGGTCGTGACATGTTCCTTAGCCACCTAGGGCCTTTTAAAGAAAGCGGACCAGGGGTTGGAGGTAGAGTGGGGTTGGCGGAAAGGTCAGGGTACACTGTCCTGTATATTAAAAATTCACAGCAAATTCACTGTAAAAAAAGACTAAGCAGGGACAGTCAGCAACCAAAAGGTGACTGGCCTCAGGAGTGATAATACTTGAAGAGAAATCCTTCCTAGTTTTTTTGAGAGTCTTACTGGATATTACAGTAAGAAGGACAAAACATCCCTGCTGAGACTGCAAAACAATCTTTCGTTGTGGTCGTGACTTCCCCCAGAGTTATTTTTACTGAAGTTCATGCCATTGTTTGCTGAGCAGCAAAGAAACATGAGATACAAACCCT